CTTAACTGATCAATATTGAACTCTCGAGGGGCTTTTATGTAGAATGTGTGCCATGCAGAATACTAATACATTGGGATGACTGTAAGATACTTTTCCTTCCACGAAAACCATTTCCACTAAATATCACATTCTGTCATTGACAAAAATTAACATTTTAGAAGTGTATTGCATATTAATGGAAGATTACTTTCATACATGATTCGATTTTCTTGTTCCACCATGGGTGGAAGACAAGAAAAAAGCTTGATTCCCCCATCAACATAGGCAGTGTTGATAAGGGAGTGCCTCCCGCAGATCTATTGCCTTCTGCGGGTGGGGGGTTCGGGGGATGGGCATGGGGAGCCTTCTTGGCTGGCAGAACTGTCATGAACCATGAACCAGGCAGAGACAAAGTGCAGTTAAAATCACATCTTTAATGAAATAGCAAAAATAACACAGTTCAGGAATGCAGTTAAAACAGAAGCCAGAGTGTGGATGCCAAAGCGGGTAATCAGACAAGCCAGGGTCAGGAAACCAGAAGTCAGCATAGTCAGGAGCCAAAAATCAGGAACAGGAGAAGAAGTCAGCCAGATCGAGTTGTACACAGAAACACAGGCAGGAACACACTGGAGCTCATAGACCATGCAAGGGAAAGGAAAAAATTGAATAAAAGAATAAAAAAAAAAAAAATAGCAAAAAGGGCTGGCTGTAGGTTGGACTAATGAGGCAGGTAATGGTATCCAGGTGAGTCACTGTGAAGACAATGAGTGGCTGGTAATTAACAAACAGCTGAGCAGCTTGTGTGCACTGAAAGAAAAGAGCTGCTCTTTAAGTAGTAGAAACCCAGTCCTGACAAGAACACAATGATTGCTGCCAGCAGCTATAGCAGTAATCTTGCAGAAAAATCCGACAGGCTGGTTGTACCCAAATGGGTACAATCAGCCTGCCTATAGATGGATTGAATCTTAGCTGGTGTAGCTAAAAGGAAAAAAAATAATTATTTAAATGCATCCTAAAACTCCATCCAGGCCAACCTTCTCCTCTTCTACTTGATTCTTGGCCACAATAGAAGCACATGTTCAATCATTCAACACCAACACCTCTACTAATTTACCATTCTTCATCACCATTTGTTGAGGTCTGTGATTGGCAAGGTCAGCAAACTTGAATGCTTTGCTCCTTCCATCCATATTTCCTGTGCCACTGTGTCATTAATAATTCAGGGCTAATTCTTACCTCATTCTTACCTGCGGCACTTCATAGATTTCTTTTACACACATAGCTTGATACCCAACTCTACTTTATATTCAGTTTCCTGTAAATTACTTTTGCATCCAGTACCTTATATAATGTTATTGCATGCAGTGCCCCACACCTTTGCATTGCATGCAGTGCCCCCCCATACCTTTGCATTGCATGCAGTGCCCCATACCTTTGCATTGCATGCAGTGCCCCATACCTTTGCATTGCATGCAGTGCCCCATACCTTTGCATTGCATGCAGTGCCTCATACCTTTGCATTGCATGCAGAGCCTCATACGTCTGTGCTGTATGCGGTTTTCCAAACTATCTTAGCATATACAGACACTTCTTAGCATAACACATGTGCCTGCATTGGTATATGAACTGGGCTCAATGATTAGCAGTCCTTCAGCAGTTCTATTTTTCCCAGGTTGCAAATATAGGGCAATTTGGGACAATGTGTGTCAAAGTGAGGCAAAATTGGAATACCCTTTTTACAAACAGTATTATATTTTAGTTATGCCTATCCCTCCTAAAACTCAGCTCTTATGTGGCTTAAAGGGATAAAGAAAATCTTTAGTCTTTTTCTTTCATAAATTCTTTGTTTATTTAACACTGTTGGTACAATACAGCTAAGTAGGCACAGTAGAAATGAATATGTAAAAAGTAACATAAGACTGAATATCTTTGGTCTTTTAAACCAAGAGAGGGAGATCGAGATGTCAGCTTCCAACATTAAAAAACATTTTTTTTAACTTGACTTATATTTAAACGTTTTTGCAAATGTTTTGTATTTTAAACCCTTTTTTTTTTTTTTAATACTGTGCTTCCTGCTTAGTATCACAGCTTGTTGTGTTTAAATGCTTTTAATCTTAAAGCAAAGCTATGAACAGAGTTTAGTCAAAAGATTTTCTTGTTTTGTTCAGTACATTTTTTTTTTTTTTTTTAAGCAAGATGAAATACAGAGCATGGAGGTGCTTGCTTAACGAGGGATATGTTAAGTAGTGGACATGACATGGATATGCCAGTCACAATATACAAAGATCACAGGGTGCAATTATGATAGCTATACATTAAAAGTCCATTAAAGCAGTAATACATTGTAATGTTTGCCATTGGTAACTAATTAATAACCTTTTTAATGAAAACATTATTATTATGTTGTGGGGGTGGGTATTGGGTGAAGGGAAGAAATAAAAAAGGGTGGTGGTTTGCAGTGATTAGAATCTAAAAGCAATATAATCTGTAGGTGCCATATTCTTTTCAGCAGCAGTTGTTGAGCAAAGATGTTGATTACAATGTTATATATAAAGCCTCACTATTTGGATAGCCTACATGGCTGTATGTGAAGTGTGGTCATTGCATTACCAATTACTTTCAAGCAAAAGTAAAAAAATAATTACTCAAAAGGAGCACTGAGTGTACATTCAATAGTTTTATTTTAAAGTAAACCTGTCATGAGAAAAATATAGAGCTGCCATTGTTGACCTCATTGTAAAAATGCTAGTTACCTGGCTGTTATGGCCACCTGCTGTCTTCAAATCAGTGAGTCTGTGAGCCAGAACAAGCAAGCAAAACAGATAAATCAGAAAAATGTCAAAAGTCCTTATGTGCATGCTTCTTCTGGGTTATTGTTAAAAAGTAGAGAATTCAGGACAAAATGGGCATAAAGCCTCTGCTATACTGAAAAAAAAAAAACAAAGCTGATTTTGCTCCTTATTAACAAAATGGGCACAAGCCCCTTTGTTAATTAGAAGCAATCTGCTCCATTTTCTATGACGTGTCTATGCCAGACATGGAATAAAAAGCAGGAGAGCTGAAGCTGTTTATTCCAGAAAACATTTAAAAAAAAAAAATAGAGGTTGATCAAGGGTGACTCACCGGTAATGAAAAGAAAATACAAATGTATAAAACAGAATTATTTATTTCCAAAAAACTGGTAAAACGTCCATCTGCACTGTAATTACACCAGTGCTGTTATTCCAGTGTCAGGATCTCCTACCTGACAAGGATAGCATAGTTCTGGTCCAACATCATTGGGGAGACAGGGTCAGCAGTGTGGGAGCTTGTGTAACCAATGAATAGTATGAAGGCGTGGGGGGGCTATTATTGCTGCCACAGACATTAATGAAAGTTGGATTATTATTACTGCCACTGACACCAATGAAGGGTAGATTATTATGGCTGTCCCTGACATCAATAAAGAGGGGTCTAAGCAGGATTTTGTACTTTTAGTAAGGCCCCGTCTTTGGGTGAAGTATGTACTCCTTTAGAAATTGTTGTGGGTGGAGTCCTAGGCAAAAGAGTGATGGAACCTCTGATTTATGCCATGTAGGTCTGTAGCATGTGCAGGAGTGTACCCTTCAGGATAGGTTAGACTCGAGAGTGGGAACTCACTAGAGGAGGACCTACAAGGAAGAGTTGGCCAGACAATCTGTGTTATGTCATTGAACGTGTTCTGTCTGTGAAGCTGTGAAACAGACATTGTACTGATTCAAGAGATGTTGATTCTAGAACAAAATGTGTTAAAAGGCTACAGGTGTGGACATTCCTTTAATATCAAGGTGGCCTCAGGTCTGGACAAAGTGAGTAGCCGAGATGGTGAAATTTTTCCCTTGCAGGTGTGTGTGTGTACCCTATCTGAAGAAGGGAGGTGCCCTTGGCCAGCATGGTGAGAGTTGGTGGCAAATTGTAGCCACTGCCACCACTGTTGTCACTGCCACCAACAAGTTCCATTCCTGAGGGCACGTACACAACTCCACTTTATTTGTAAGTACAACAAAGTACTTGCAGAAAATGACTGGGAGTGCTGATCAGTGTGTTCTGGTGGGGTGGGGAGTCCCCCTGTGAGAACACAAAGGCACAGTAAGGGAGATTGTAGTACCAACATCTCTTGTGTTGGTACATCGATCTGTCAGTTTAAAACGGAGTGTGTGTACCCCGCTTTACATGATTGGACATGCAAACACCTGTTCGCATCTTTGAAAGTTTGCAACCTGAACATTTGTTTGTAGGGGATCTTTATAGCAAAGCATATAGGGAAAGGTATGACAATGCAAGCCATATGACATATAATTGACAACCACTTTTTGGCAACACCCACTCATGTTTCGCATTTTTCTACTCGATCCCTTCTGATTATTTTCAAATGTTGGCAACTAAGAAAGTACTGAAGCAGCAGGGCCAGGTTGATAGACAAGAGAAAAGTAATTTGAGAAGGAGAGATCAGTAATGGCAGCTGACTTACTTCTGACATGTTTCATTTAGGCCATGAGCAGAGCATCAATTCTGTCTCTGTTGTGACATATGGTTGATTTTATATGTAGGTAGAACTGTGCCGCCTCCATGTGCATTTCCACCTGCAATGTTCTTGAATGATGAAAATGTATGTTAATGTGTAATGGAGTAAGGGCATGTATGACTGATGAGGTGGAAAGTTCCTCTTCAAGTATTCTTCAAAAGCAAGGTGTGCTATTACATATTGTTCCCTGGGAGAGCTATATGTTATGCGTTGCTGCCTCCTGGCTTCCGGAGAAGGATGTAATACAGATGGGCTATGTAAAGTGAGAAAATGGCCTGGTTTGCTTTATACAGCATTTTAAAGATACAGAGATATGGACATTTATATATATTCTGTATACCATGCACTGTATAACACAGCTTGAAGACTGATGTCTGTAAAAATCAGTTATGAGGATGACAATTATAATACCATTGTCATCAGTGGAATATGTCTTTATGACTGCCTAAAAGTAATGGTGTATTTACATTTTTCTTAGGATTAATGGGCAACTGGTTGCTTTGAAAGTCATCAGCATGAAAGCTGAGGAAGGAGTACCCTTTACTGCCATTCGAGAAGGTAATTTATGTATTCAATAGCAGTCATTTTCAGGACCAGGGTATACTGTATATTGTATTTATGTCCATCAAATAAAGCAGGGTTAATTTACTAAGGAATTAGAGACCTCTAGCTAAGTAAATTGTATGCTCACTGAGCTTAGTAAATAAGATAGAGCTGTGTTCACTTCAGTAAACCAGTCACATGCTAGCGAAAACCCTGTTATTTTAGTTTTGCTCACACATAATTGGGTATTGAAAGTGAATACAGGTTTAATTTCCCTCTCACATTTTTGAGTATTCAAAGTGAATACCAGTTTAAAACCTATGTTTTGTCAAAATAAAGTAAATAAAACAGCACAAAGGATTTTACTTACAATGGATTTGATGTGTCCCGTGTGCTTCTAGCTCCTGCTTTAGTTGACATCTTTCATTCTCCGATACCAACCCCTACCCCATGCTAAAATATTTCAGTGCGTTGATAGAGCCCATACACCTGTATCATGAATGCCATCTATGCCCACCCTTTCCACCCCCTTCCTCCATTCATAGAGGCTGTACTATAGCTTCTGTGAATGAAAAATGTGCTATGAATAGAGGATGGGTGTATGAATGAGAGGTCCACTTCCTCTAGTCATAGATTCAGCACTCTTGAAGACTGCATATGACAGGTATCCTAGGAGTGTGGTCAGTCCCAGTATTAACAGCAAAATAGGAATCATTATAATCAATGTCATTAGTAAAATGCTCTTTAAAGATATGTATAGCTGTTCCATTTTTGTTTTTTCAGCATCTCTCTTGAAAGGCCTGAAGCACGCAAACATCGTACTTTTGCATGACATCATTCAAACCAGGGAAACATTAACTTTTGTCTTTGAATATGTGGTGAGTGATTGTATATTAATATAATTTTTATAAAAGATTTGTAACTAAAATTAGTGTAGCTGGGTGTGCTTCTGGCTACATGTGACTATCTCCCTTCACTTTCCTCTTCCCATCGTCATTGTGCATGCAGCAACTGCCTCTCACCCTGAACTTCCCTTCCATGTGAGCATAGGAGCAGCTATTTGTGATTCCCCTCACTCCTGCTCCCCCTTCCTCCTGGCTGCTGGAACCTGAACCAGAGGTGGGGAGAGGATATGCTATACAGACACTGTTGATAATGAGAACTGTGGTCGTTAAAGGGGCATAGTGCAATGCAAGGAATGAAGATGCATAGGCTGTGGAACAGATATAAGGCTTTGCACAATGGAGGAGAGACTGGGCTTTTTTCCCAGGCAAACTACCAGAGCTGGGGGCAGTGCCGCAAAGGGAGAGACAGAGTGCAGCCATGTGCTGTCTGAGTCTGCTCTCCCACTAAAAGAGAGAACTTGTTAGAGCTGAGCCAGAGCCACTGAGGACTATATGAGCAGCGGGTTACTGCATGCTGGGCCAGAGTTGTACAGATTTTGGAGCCATGTGTGTCTACAACAGAGCTGAGAGACTGAGCCATAAAGAGTTGCTGTGTCCTGATACCAGAGCTGTTAGACCTGTTGCCATGTGTGTCTAAAACCAGTGAGCACCTAATTGTGAGGACTTGACCATGAGGACTGAGCCTTCTTTTGGACACTCCAGCTTCTTCCCACACTCCAAAGATGTGCTGGTAGGTTTCCTCCCACACTCCAAAGCCATGCTGGTAGGTAATTGGCTCCTGTCCTCTGTAAATTGGCCCTAGTATGTGTATGAATGTGAGTTAGGTACCTTAGATTGTAAACTCCTTGAGGGCAGGGACTGATATAAATGTACAATATATACGTGTAAACTGTTGTATAAATTGAATGTGCTATATAAATACCTGAAATAAATAAAAATAAATAAGAATTACAGTGAGGTTCCAATTATGCCATTCATACTTCATGGTTGATGCCATTCTTACTGATACTGTGTGGACTAGTGTAACGGGGCTTAGCCTTATTGTGGCGTAAGTTAATGGCTGTAAGTAATCATCTTCATTCTCAAGTTGCTTGTAATCTATTTTCTGTGTATTATCATAGAGCGGAAGGATATTAAGGCTTAAGTTATGCAGGTGTGGGCAATCTACAACCAGGTGTGGCAGTGGACCAAGCAGGTTAAGGAGTCATAGCAGAACAGAAGACCCATCAAACCAAGCAGCTGCTTCAGGGGCAGTGCTACACTAGCCATATACAGGTGTACAGGAATGATCCAATCAGTTGTCATTTTCATGACTAGCTTCCGGTACAAACATTAATGCTTGGGATTCTTTTTTATGTGCATACAACATCTCTAGTGCTGCTGTTTCCATGGGGTAGGAGAGAACAATAGTAATCAAAGTTTTCTTACCTGTCCTAATGTTTTTTCTTGGTGGCCGTATTTTTAGGGATCGTAGATGTTAAAATATCAGTCACCCAAACTGGAAGAAAGAAAACAGGCAGATTGGGTGACTCTTATCTCATGTCTACAGGTAATTTAAGATACAAGACCTTGGAACAAAATGTGAACAAAGAACAAATCTCTCTGGTAAATTCACCTGCTAATAGCTGCTTTTTTAAATTCTTTTATACTTTGTCCATGAATGGCAAGGAAGGTTCATTGTAGCTGCACTGAAATATTAAATAAAAAAGACTGTATTTAATGTTTACAAATACAAATATTAACCACTTGCCTTCCAGAGGATTTACCCCCCTTCCTGACCAGGCCATTTTTTGTGATATGGCGCTGCGTTTTTTTAACTGACAATTGCGCGGTCATGCAATGCTGCACCCAAATGAAATTTACCTCCTTTTTTTCCCCACAAATAGAACTTTCTTTTGGTGGCATTTGATCGCCTCTGCGTTTTTTTTTTTGCGCTATAAACAAAAAAAAAACAATTTTGAGAAAAAAACAATATTTTTGATTTTTTGCTATTAAACATATAAAAAAAATTTAAAAATCAAATTATTTAAAATTTAGGCCAAAATGTATTCTGCTACGTCTTTGCTATAAAAAAAAATCCCATACATCTAAATTAACCACTTGCCTACTGGGCACTTATACCCCCTTCCTTACCAGACCAATTTTCAGCTTTCAGCGCTGTTGCAATTTGAATGACAATTGTGTAGTCATGCAAGATTGTATCCATATGAAATTTTTATCAATTTTTTCTCATAAATAGAGCTTTCTTTTGGTGGCATTTAATAGTCGCTGGGTGTTTTACTTTTTGCGCTATAAACAAAAAAATTGCAAAAAAATTTGAAAAAAAAAAAAAGTTTATTTGTTTCTATTATAAAATTTTGCAAACAGGTAATTTTTCTCCTTCACTGATGTGCGTTGATGAGGCAGCAGTGATGGGTACTGATAGGCGGCACTGATAGGCAGCACTGAAGGGCACTGATAGGCAGCATTGATAGGCAGCACTAATGAGGTGGCATGGATAGGCGGCACTGATGATGGGTACTGATAGACAGCACTGATAGGCGGCACTGTTGGGCACTGACTGGCACAATTGCTGGGCACTGACTGGTGGCACTGACTGGCGGCACTGATAGGCACAGGTGGGTGGCACTGGTGGGTGGCACTGGTGGGCACTGGTGGGTGGCACAGGTGGTGGCACTGGTGGGCACAGGTGGGTGGCACTGGTGGGCACAGGTGGGCGGAGCTGGTGGGTGGCACTGCTGGGCACCAATCATCAGGCCACTGATCATCAGTGCCCTGATGATCGGTGCCGATACCTGCTCTGACAACTGCCAGTTCTCGGCAGTACTTTCCTCACGCTTTGACAGCGTTTCCCTGTTTGCGTTTCCCTGTTTTGCATTTCCCTGTGATCAGTGTGTCATTGGACACGGCTGATCACATGGTAAAAGGCCGCTGTGATTGGCCTTTTACCACATCACGTGATCAGCTGTGTCCATAGGACACAGCGATCACAGAGATTGCCGGGGGCGCGCGCAGGAGAGCGCGTTCTGGGAGGACGTCATATGACGCCTTCCCAGAACTGGCCTGCCGCAGTGCAGCCGTCATTCGGCTATCTGCGGTCAGCAACTGGTTAATTGGTTTACGTGAAAGTTATAGCATTTGCAAATGGCAATACATATACTGGAATTTGTTTTTTGTTTTTTTTTCTAGTATTGGTGGCAATCAGCGACTTATAGCGGGACTGCGACAGGCATTCTGACAGTGGGGGGAACTGACTTAGTGTCACTGACATCCCCAGTGACACCAATACAGTGATCAGTGCTATTAGGATGCACTGACACTGTACTAATGACATGTGGGGTGATCAAAGGGTTAACTGTGTGCTGTTTTACTATGAGGCTGTGTGCTGTTTTACTGTAAGCACACTGCTTTGTATGGCTCTGCAATGAAGAGCCATACAAAGAAGTGTGCAGGAGCTGACGGGAGAGATCTGTGGTGTTTATACACTGGTCTCTCCCCCGTCGGAGATACAAGGTGATCACCAGCCAGGACCCGGTGATTGACAGCCGAGGCTGTGAATGGCGCACATCTCCTACCCAAAACTGCAAAATCACGAATATATATATACGTGATTTTGCGCACCCGTGCTGCCCTGTAGCAGATAGGGTGGCACAGAAGAAGCAAGTCACATTTATACAGCAGGGATATCTATTTTGTTACTATAAAACTCTGAATACCCTGTGCTTAAGAGAATATAAAACAAAATAATAATATTAATCCTACTACAGTGTTATTTGTTAAAGATTGCTTCCACCATAAATCTAAATAAGTGTGAACCTATGAGAGAATAAAACCAAATAGTGCACTCTCTGGTAGGGCAACCCAAATTAATATCTCAAAGTGTAAAAGTGCGTAAAATGACAAAATAAAAAAATGTCTATCACAGTAAAGTTCATGTGCAATTCAATAAAGTTCATGCACACATCAATCCACGATGTCTTCATGAACTTGAACCAATAGTATTCTTATTTATAGACTGATCCCAAAGGTTGCCACAGTCCCCAAGAAATATTTGCCTCTCCTAGTGATTGGCAAAACGACATTCCAAAAATCTCTTTTCATACAGCTCTGCTCCTTTAAAACCACACGATCAGCTCCGCATAATCTACATTTCTGGCTAGCACTCAGAAGAAAAAAGTGTCCCACATAGCGTAATCCTGTATAAAAATATATTTTTTTTTAAAACCAAGCACTAAAACCACTCACAAAAGTGATTACCCATACATATAAGTTAAGATATCCGATATACCAAGTTCTGTACAGCCAGCAGAAATGTTCTTCTCACCACAATCGACTGTCAAACCACGTGCTCATAGCGCCTGGACGCCGTACAGTCACTTCTGACGTCCCTCAGACCAACAACCTGTCAAAAGATACTTGTGGAAAGTCTCTCCTTTTAAACGATTTTTGGCCTCTGTGCCTGATTTAGGATGCTGATGTTGCTAAAAAAATATTTTGTAGTTTACCACACCTTTTCCCTCTAATGTTTTTATCCGGGAACCTTTTTAGATAAGTCAGCAGGGAGCATTTTTCCCTGATTTGCTATGAAAAAAATCCTTTTTAGTTGAAACATTCAGTAATTTAGGTGAATGTTTGTTTTCATCATACACCAGATTAAAGAATCAAAGTTCGTGAATTTTCAGAGGATTTTAGGTCATTCAGCCATCTATCCTTTACACCTCTTTATTTTTCCATATGAGTTTTAGCTAAAGCTATAAGTAAATGACAAAAACGCTATGAGCATTAAAAAATCTTTAAATTGGGTATAAATGTTCAAGTTAATTTTTCCAATACAAATATCAGCTACTTTAAATCAGTCAGAAAAATTAAATATATGTCTTAATCCTGGCAGCAATTGCCATTTAACGCATATAAACAGAAAGAGTATATAACATAAGTTATAAAAGCCAGTACGGATGGAGCTATTTTTTGACACTTTTTTTCTTTTATAGAAGGCCATGCTGCATCCTTTTCATGTCCAAGAATGTCCTGTAGGGGGAGCTCATGGCACTGTATTGAACACCTCTCTAAAATAACTGATTTTTTTATTTCAGGTACTTATATAGTGCCGTCAATTTACACAGCACTTTTACATATATATTTTACATTCACATCAGTCCCTAACCCTCAAGGGGCGTACAATCTAAGGTCTCTAACTTACATTCATACATACACATACTAGGGCCAATTAACCTACCAGCATGTCTTTGGAGCATGGGAGGAAACCAGAGTACCTGGAGGAAACCCACGCAGGCACAGGGAGAACATGCAAACTCTAGGCAGGTGGTGCAGTGGTTGGGATTCGAACAAAGGACTCTAGTACTGCCAGGTAGAGGTGCTAACCATTTAGCCACTGTGCTGCCAAATGTATTTTGAATTATTCAGCCCAATGGCCTCAAAAAAAGAGCTTCCAACATACTGTATGTCCAGTCACTTCTTGAGACTTTAAATGCATAATAAAACTTTAAAACTTTAAATACAATAGAAATAAAACTGATGAGAACAGAATCTCATTTTCCTAATGTAGGCACTGCCACAGTCTTGCTCACTAATGCAGTACAGAGATGATCATGCAAAGGGAAGTAACACAGAACAATCAATCGGATAGAATTTTAATACAAAAAGATCATTAAGAGATTACTATTCACCCAGCTAAATAGGAATACAGCAAGACTTTGAATAAAGCCAACATGGCATAACTTGTTCATTGCTGCACTTGTTCCTCATTCTAGTTTATTTTGAGTATCCTCAGACATTCTATTTTAAGGTGTGAAGAAAATCGGACCTAGTCAGAAAATAAGTTTTGGGAGGTGGGTCATGAGGTCAAGCAACAAGAATATATTTATATATATACACGCTTTATGATAATTCCTAATAATAATTTTTTTTTAATTCAAGGACTTGTTCTTCTGATGTTTTATGTACATTTTACTTTTCTGCAGCATACAGACCTTGCACAGTACATGGCCCAACATCCTGGAGGACTTCTGCCATACAATGTCCGGGTGAGATCCTGTTTTTATTTATACAGTATATCTAAAGGTCAGACAACATGGACACCTGGGATTCATTTCTAAAACCTGATTAGGCTAATTATTTTTGCAATGCTGATCTGTTCTCTGTGAAGTTCACATTAGCTCTATGAATGAGTTTGCATCTTGCAACTGCAAACACACCAGCTTTGATATACAGTAAATAGCTCACAATTGATATTATTATTAACTGTATATTGGCTAATGCTAGATATACACATGTTAAATTTTCTGGTTTAGCCCCACTGGCTGAACAAGAGAGATCACTTGATTCCCCCCATCCATGATATTTGGCATGGATGAGTGATCTTCCCTGCCGGCTATTGTATTCTGACAGCTGCTGCTCCCATGGCTGTCTGAATACCCAAATAGTAACTGCATCTGATTGGCTGCAGTCATTGTTCAGCTGAGAATTTACTATCCTGCTCTTATGATTTTTAAATCAAAGTTTGTTGAGCTGGGTGGTGCCAACAGGATCACCCATTTCTCAAAATATCCCCACCGATCCTACACAACCAGCTGTATAAACATTAGCGAAGACTGCTTATTTACTAACTTTGATCAGTTTTGTCATTCCTGGTAAGGGCATTTTGCTGGCCATAAACTTTAGAAAGTGGTCAGATGTGCAGGTACAATCCATCTGCCTTCAGGCTAGGAAGACATTAAAACAAGTCACAGCTCTGAAAGCTAAGGAGACACCAGAGCAGGTAACTGTTCTGCTTCCACAATCTAAGCAGTGAAAGTGTGAGCTGCTTAACTGATCCAGTTGGGGTGAGATAGCTTAATTTATAGTATCAGTAACAGACAATGACTTGATCCAAATGACATCTTGCAGATCGTAGAACCCTTTAATACAAAAACTTGTTCAGATCACAACAGATCATCAAAAATTATAGTGTGTCTAGCTCCAGCAGAATACTGTATGTGTGAGGAATGGAGGCTAAAGCATCAAGAAGGGTAGAACTAAACTACATAGAGCATCCTCTAGGTTTTGAGTGAGGTAGGAACAAAATTATTTAAAGACAAGCAAACAATGCTTGTGTAAGAGGATAGGTAACCTGCAAACTCTAACTTGGCTGAACTTAAACTCTGTCTTTATGGAGAAGGAAAAAGCAGGAGCGGAGAGCTGAGAAAGATGCTAGTTTATTACATTAGTAACCATAATCCCATGGATGTTACTGGTTTCAGCATGGAAAGGCTGCATTAGACAACTGTCAAACAAAACAGTCCTCCTACCCGTCGGAGATGCTCGGTAATCACTGGGTACTGGCGGGTAATCACTGGCTGGGACCCAGTGTCTGACAGCTGCAGCCGCAAATGGCTCTACCTGGAAATGCAAAATTGTGTGTGTGTGTGTGGGTGTGTATATATATATATATACCTATATATGATTTTGCGCACCCCTGCTGCCTTGTAGCAGTATATCTATAGGGCGGTGGGAAAGCTGTTAATAAAGGACTAACTCCTATAGTTTTTTTTTTTTACACTACACTTTGGGGAGTGAATGAGTAAGGGTTCCATGTACTCCATACTCATTCACATGGGGAAGGCTGTGATCTGGGGTCCCCCTTATTAAAGGGCCTGGTAAGGATTGGGGGGGGACCCACACCATCTTTTTTTTTTCTTAATTTTTAATTGCCGGCAATTATTTTTTGTTTACATTCAGCTGTCAGTGGGTTCCCATTGCATTACTGCATGTTTTCACTACTAAAATACCGCATTACTTCATAAAATAACTCATGCGGTATTTTAGTTTCCTTTTTGTGAATGCCACCAAACTTTTTTCGTGAGGCATCTTGTGAATTGTTTCCATAGACACTGTCTTTCGGAATACCAGCTTTAATTTTTATTACATACTAGTGCAAAGAAAATGTGTGGCTTTTGGCTTGCCATTAAACGGGATGCTGTGGTTCTATTTACTCTGAACAGCATCTCAATGTACCTACCTGTGTTGCAGTGCACTGTGATGCACAGTAATGCACTACATTGTGTTGCGATGTGCCGCATTGCTAAGAAAGGTAAAAAATACCTTTTTTGTGCATTGAGCATCCCACATTAAATAAACAGATGTAAATGAACCCTAAGGGATGTCTAATCCCAACAACAAAAATGTAATATATTACAGCTAACCAGTCCTTTTTCAGGCTTTCTATAGTTTCCCGAAGTACAGAAAAATACCTGTTGATTGTGCCAGAATTCTAGTGACTTTTAAATTCCTCTGCACTGTACTAATATCTCCAACAATGTTATCATCTTTCCCAGCTAACTACTGTGAACTACAAAAACAACTCCTTCCTATGTATTGGAGATGAGGAGGTGTTTGTAGTTCAAATCAGATAAGCAGGACAGGGTAACAAGGTAGTTCCTCCATAGACAGTAGACTGAGCATTGTCACCTTAGGAAAGGTAGTGTTTTAATGGCAGGATCACCTGGTGAAAATAAAGATAAATGTATCATTCACAATGTCCCCTTTGAACACAGCTGACTCTTTAGCACCAGGGGGGTGGCAATGGCACACAGTCTCTAGGATCTTTCACACCAGTCTGTACTCACAAATGTCCTTAGATGATTGGTTGCCTCCTTCTGATATCTTCCAGACACATTCTCTATGTGATATCAGATTAGATTCTCAAACGACAAGCCCTCCAGTCAGCTTCAGCAACTTTTAGCAACAATTGTCCACTCAGCTGGGACCGCATGGCAGCAAACACATGGCAGGCTTGAACTGCAAACACATGGCAGGCTTGCCCAGGGGGCAAGATATCCCAACTAGGCCGTAATCTCCTCCTCAAGGACAAGACACTTCTGCTTCAGGTCTCAGACTATGTATACACCTTCCCAGCAACCAAATGTGTACTCTCCCACAGGGATTGGCCAAGACAGTATAAGTATTCATGCTGCCTATTTGCCTTGTTCCACACCTATATTTCAGAACCATCCATATAGCAGCCTGTGAAACACAGAACAGACCTGAACAATTACAAACACCCGCACTTATTACAGTGAGCCCAGCACTAAATTTACCTAATCATAGCACCTGACTAGGAAGGTGCTATATGAAGAAAAGTAAACTAATTCAACCATCATATTCAAGGACTGATGAGCAGGAATATAATATATTTTTGCTTTTGGGTTTTCAATATACTGTAAGAACCATGTCACATTGGTGATGTGGTGTGGCAGAGGTTTGTGAATCAAAAGACTGGCTGATCAGAATTACAAATCATCTAGCAAGTTAAACAGTACACAAAACAAGAATTTAGCTGGATATTTAGCAACGTCTCAGGAGTTTAACGTTGAATATGAAAAATAGAGGAGACAAGCCTGTTACATATAAGCTTGCAATACCCTAAACAAGAAAAAACACCATTGTAATCTGGAATATTAGAAACTAATATAAGTGAGTTACAAAAATATTTCCCAGTAAGCTGTCTCAATTAGGATATCTATAAAATTTACATTTCACAGAATGAATGAAGTTATTATTTACCTTTTTATACAGTTATTTTATGCATTTTCCCCCTTACCTATTTTTCTAGCAGCAGAACCTTCTGCACTGAGTAATCTTGGCATGAGTCTCCCAATGCCGGGACTGTAAAGAACAATTTCTGATTCTGAGACCACACTAATAGTAGCCCCTGCATAATCCTAAATCTCACTCAACACCCATCCTCAAACCATCCTTACGATAAACCTATTGTGAACCCTTACCCATAAATGAACCCTTCACTTTGTATCCTTCAACAGGATCTTCTCTGTGCCAAGCAGTTAGTGCCTTTGCTAATACAGCACAGCTAATACAGAGATTCTGGCAACAGAACAAGTTATCTCGTGTACCCCCACTCCTTCGGTGTGCGCTCTTTATAACTAATGCTGCTACTTAAATTACCATGTTGGGGTTTGTTCTATTCCTTGACAATTGAGTTAAGCCACTACCCAATTTAAGCAGTTCTAAAAACCACACCATATTTAAGTATTCTCTCCATGCCTGAGGCCAGTTGCATTGTCACCCCAGTTGACAAGCAAGGGCAAAAAAAACCTATTGTATGTGAGCCTTATCTTTCTGCAAACATGCTGTATTTAGTTACTTGTTCATCAGTTGCCGTGATTTGCCCTGGAAATTTACTGTTAGTATTTATTTGTTTTACCAGTTCATCATTCTACATCAATCATAGAATTTTTTTGTATACTAAATGAAAAAAGGTGGCATAACTATGTTCCTGATTGTACATAGGGTTGATTCTAACCAGAAATTGCAAGAACACAGTGAAAGCACAAAAGCTCCTCTTTTGATCTGAGACTTGTTATCTCTTTGTGTAGCTCTTCATGTTCCAGTTGCTCAGAGGTCTGGCCTATATCCATCACCAGCATATCCTGCATCGGGACCTAAAACCACAGAATCTCCTTATCAGCTACCTAGGGGAGCTCAAACTGGCTGACTTTGGTAAGTCCAACACAGCTGACACAATTACATCAGAGTAGTTGGAGCAACAGGCCTAGTACACTTCATTTGTAATTAGAACATCATGGATAAGATTAAACAAACTCTTCAGGTTAATGAAATGTTCAGTCTTGGCAGGTTAATGGGATGCATGTGTGTAAAAAATACATGGCCAATGTCTGGTCTGCATTAAAAGCATGTTACTGCTTTAAAAACCAATGCAAAATCTGTTGGGTGTTGAAAACAGAAAAAAACTTGAAGGGAGAGTAAATGAAGCAACTTGTTGCACAGCAAATTCAAAATAGTTGTCTGCCAAGATCCTGAAAGGTGGCCACTTGCAAGCATACAGATATATGTGCACATTAATCACATGAGCAGCTGGCTTATCCTTGGAGAACCACAGCCTGTAAGGTGTGTAAATCAAAAAAAAGCCCAACCTGGACCACAGACATTTACTTCAGTACTGGTCAGTTACAAGTGTTTGTGCAGGTATCCAGCTACAAGTTGACATCTTGACTTGTTACCAGATATGATTGATGTTCTAGGTTTCGACCACCATATTTCCAGTATACTAAAAAAGCAAGCCTAACTGGTGTTAATCCATGTAACATCCTTTTTTAATTAAATTACTTGGTTAAAAAGTCTCAAATTGAAATTCTTAAGTTTGTCAGAGAGAGTGCTTCTTTATGCTCTTTGTATAGGCCACATGTCTGAAAGTCCCCAAAAATACATTTATTGATGTGGGAACACATTTAGGTGCTTGCAGCAGCTTATCATTTTTTTGTGGCAGTGCAGTTCATGTGGCAGACATATCCTTACATATGTCTGAAAGACTAATGATTTTGTGACATAACCTCTGATAAAATAGTAGGATCAGCCAATCTAATCTTCGGTCCTCCCTTAAGTTCTCTTCAGAGCTGGCCACAAGTCTAAAGGCCTAGGCTCTTGGTAACATAACCTCTGATAAAATAGTAGGATCAGTCAACTGATACCTTTTTTCAGATCCTATAACCAAAAGGCCTATATAAATGTGACCTGCACTAAAGCAACTTACATCAGTATTTTCCCAAGAAAAGACAGAAAACTATGTAACAGTTGAGTATTGGACTATTGTAATGTAAAAATATTTATATTCATATATAGTCTTTTACTATATATTGTGTCAGTGGTGTGCCCTGCCACAGTGTAAAAAGAGGTTTATGACCCAGGATTCTCATCCAGGTTGGTTAAGGGGCTCCAGGGCACTTGTGTCATTCTAAGGAAACTGACTTTTCAGTTTCCCCATTGGTGAGTAAAACCCATTGTGGGATCTGGAGCCTGGAGAGTTTGTAGAGATCTGGGAGTGACGAAATCTCCAATCCTGGGTCTGTGTGTTGAGAACCACCAGCACATTAAATAGACAGGTGTGTGCTGGGCTTTTAGCAGAGACCAGACTAGGGTTCTGGGCTCCACCCCAGCAGACAGAGGAGGTCTTTGCTCTGGAGTCAGGTTGGAGCCACAGCAGCAAGGGGCTGCTAGGTGTAAGGCCAAAGCATTTGTGAGAGGATGGTCTATAGGAGACAGTCAAGGACCTGAGAAATATGACCAGAGCTGCAGTAATGTATGTGTAAGCCGGGGTGCTAATGATCTGCTGTTTTGCAAATCCCTGTGAGGGGAACCTTTTTGATCTCTGAACTTTCTTTTAATAAAAATAGGCAAGAAAAGCCCAAGAAAAGAATAATTCAGCAAATGGCCTTAATGCACTACCATTTGAAGCATGTTTTCACAATATGTACAGTGGGGCAAAAAAGTATTTAGTCAGCCACCAATTGTGCAAGTTCTCCCACTTAAAAAGATGAGAGAGGCCTGTAATTGGCATCATAGGTAGACCTCAACTATGAGAGACAAAATGAGAAAAAAAAATCCAGACAATCACATTGACTGATTTGGAAAGAATTTATTTGCAAATTATGGTGGAAAATAAGTATTTGGTCAATATGAAAAGTTCATCTCCATACTTTGTTATATATCCTTTGTTGGCAATGACAGAGGTCAAACGTTTCCTGTAGGTCTTCACAAGGTTGGCACACACTGTTGCTGGTATGTTGGCCCATTCCTCCATGCAGATCTCCTCTAGAGCAGTGATGTTTTGGGGCTGTCGCTGGGCAACACGGACTTTCAACTCCCTCCAAAGGTTTTCTATGGGGTTGAGATCTGGAGACTGGCTAGGCCACTCCAGGACCTTGAAATGCTTCTTATGAAGCCACTCCTCTGTTGCCCGGGCAGTATGTTTGGGATCATTGTCATGTTGGAAGACCCAGCCACGTTTCATCTTCAATGCCCTTGCTGATGGAAGGTGGTTTGCACTCAAAATCTCACGATACATGGCCCCATTCATTCTGTCCTGTACATGGATCAATCGTCCTGGTCCCTTTGCGGAGAAACAGCCCCAAAGCATGATGTTGCCACCCCCATGCTTCACAGTAGGTATGGTGTTCTTTGGATGCAACTCAGCATTCTCTCTCTCCAAACACGATGAGTTGTGTTTCTACCAAACAGTTCTATTTTGGTTTCATCTGACCATATGACATTCTCCCAATCCTCTTCTGGATCATCCAAATGCTCTCTAGCAAACTTCAGACGGGCCTGGACATGTACTGGCTGAAGCAGGGGGACACGTCTGGCACTGCAGGATCCGAGTCCCTGGTGGCGTAGTGTGTTACTGATGGTAGCCTTTGTTACGTTGGTCCCAGGTCTCTACAGGTCATTCACTAGGTCCCCCCATGTGGTCTTGGGATTTTTGTTCACCGTTCTTGTGATCATTTTGACCCCACGGGGAGAGATCTTGCGTGGAGCCCCAGATCGAGGGAGATTATCAGTGGTCTTGTATGTCTTCCATTTTCTAATTATTGCTCCCACAGTTGATTTGTTCACACCAAGCTGCTTGCCTATTGCAGATTCAGTCTTCCCAGCCTGGTGCAGCTCTTAAAGAAGAAGGTACAGGTCTGTGAGAGCCAGAAATCTTGCTTGTTTGTAGGTGACCAAATACTTATTTTCCACCATAATTTGCAAATAAATTCTTTCCAAATCAGCCAATGTGATTGTCTGGATTATTTTCTCATTTTGTCTCTCATAGTTGAGGTCTACCTATGATGCCAATTACAGGCCTCTCTCATCTTTTTTTAAGTGGGAGAACTTGCACAATTGGTGGCTGACTAAATACTTTTTTGCCCCACTGTATATTGGCACCCAAATTTGCTTATTACACATAGACTATGTATCCAGCTTAGTTGCACTTTACATTAATGTCTTGCTCATACTGTAAGTTTTGAATGGCACCTCCATAAATGCATCATAGGTGTATTACAGTGCGCCTTTAGCTATAGTTCTACTTTTTGTAGTTACTTTTAAAGTGAACCTGAAATATTACATACTTGCGTAATCTATCATTGTCAGCGCACATCTTAGGAGGGTGAAAAATAAACTGTTTTCTGTAAGCATCTTGGAGCCTGAAATGTTCAAGTGCTCTTTAATGCACTCACATTTTGTGTTGGTGTCAGGGGGCTGGTTTCATCCCTTCCCATCTTTTGAGTCTCACTATTGAACCATAATACTGGGCTTAAGACATTGATGGGTTGCCGCACTGGCATGAGGCTTAAGCGACAAAAAAGGACTGAGCTTATAACTCATGAATCTAGGTAGTACACCTACATGAGAACACTTGGGCAGTATGGGCACCCAGGGTGAAGGGACCTGATGCACAGACACTAGAGGATTCCTGCTACTAGTGCTAGAGTAGCGTTTTGTTTTGGATAAAGTAGAGCATGACTAGAACCCCTGTCGGCTTTATCTTGCTTGTTTTGACTGGGGAGATTTTTCTTCACATTCTTTCTCAATACACAACAAGAAATGAGAGGAGATCTCTCCAAAGGAAACACAATCTTTAGTGTCTTTTCAAAAGCATCATCAGTTCTGTCATAAAAATAATGCATGAGAGTCTGAATTTATTCAATTTATTCATCAGTTCAATTTACATCAGTATATATCCTTTTTTCACGTCTGTTATTTTTATGTACTTTTTGTGCAAAAGTACAAACAAAAATATATTCAAGCGTAATTTAAGTCTGAAAGAGACACCAACCTTTTCTGTTTCATTCTGTGGACACATGAGTATTTACATCCACCCTTAGACGCACATAGTGATTCAGTCTGGATCTGTCAAAAAAAATGACAGACCATTTCAGACTGAACGCCCATCTGAAAGGGCCCTGAGACAGTTGTAACTGGAACAAGTGTCCCCATTGGAAGATTTCCTTTCTATTCATGTTCCAGTCACAACTCAGGATTTGGAACTTTCTCTCACTTTCAGCAGCACCACTTATAAAACTTGTGCCCATTGCTTGACTCTCAGTTGTGACACATTAGACCATCTGAAAATTACTATTCGGCACAAATTTTTTCAGTTGTGTGTCATGCCGGCTGGCAGGGAGGAGCCTAACATCAGCACAGGGAAAAGTTTCATTCTGACCAGTCTGATAGGTTTGCACTGACAACTCTGGATGTTTTTAAAGAAATCTCTGCTTAGGTGGATTGGATTTTAAAGGCGATTGCTGTTTTAAAGTCAACATTTAAGTGAGTGACCGCACCTCTGAATCATGTTATAGGAAACTAAAGTCTGGACTGAATGGATGTTTTAACCTTTAAATACAACAGCCACGGTGTGCAAAAAGCCTCCAGACTGCCATATTGCATTGAATTTTACTGACAATTACAGCAGCTGAAGATTGAAAAGGAAAGTTTATATCATTGAATACAGCCACAGGAAAACAGTGTGACTGAAATATAAATTATAAATAAATTAATAATATAAATACAGCCACAGGAAAACAGTGTGACTGTGAAATATAGTGATTTTTCACACTGATTTTATCCCGATTAACTGATCTGTAAAAGACTAAACAGCTGGGACTTTAGCTTTAACTATTGAGAGGAGAGAGTTGGTATTGACACAGCAGTTTTGGAGGAACAACCGGTTACCATTAGCAACACTGCATACTGGGATAGTCCCAAAAGCGCAAATGACCATCCTAGAGATAGGTGGTCACAGGATGACGGTGAGTATCATTCCATGTGGGGCACCAGTCTGAGCACAGTGGAGCGCCTGTTATTGTACACGGAGTTCACAATCAAGAATTTTAGCACTTTGCACTTTATTCTCACATACTGAATAATAAGAATTAATATCAGTATCAATATTGTTTTTCATATATTGACAGAGTTTTTCATATTTTGCACTTTTTATACGTGGTCCAAATGGTATTCACATCAGAAAAAAAAAAAACAACAGACAGTCAGAAGGCAGCAGGATCATCTCTTGAACGCCTAACAGCTGATACTTGGCTGTACTATAAAAACGATTTAACATGGTTTGCTTTTTAGAGAGACTATACAAGTGTGAAATTTGCTAAAAGTCCAGTATAGTTTTCCTAAAGCAGTAGCCTCCAAACCACAACCTGTGTGCTGGTTACAACTCATTGGTTGCCTCAAACTGGCTCTGCAATGAGCAGGCCTTGTATACAGGGCTTTCTCATTGCAAGTGATAGTTGGAAGCTGCTTATCTAATGGGGGTGGGTGCTAGGTGCTGGAACCCAGAGCATTGAAGAAAACCAGTAATGTAACAGGCAACATTGAGTGGAGAGATCTCCTTCTCAATGATACCTGTATAGTCCTGGATGTAACATCTATGACAGGAACAGCACAAGACACTGAACACGAATGCTGGGGCACAATTTCCCACTGACACATGGGCACTGCTCCTACCATTAAAAAGGGGTACCATTCTTGGTACTGACACATTGGCTCAATTCCTTCCACTGACATAGACACCATTCCTCCCACTAACTGCTGATGTAGGGGCACCCTATCTCCCATTTACAGAGGTGCACAATTGCTCCTACTGACACAAAGCCACCATTCCTCTTACTGACCACTCACACAGGGGCATTTATGCTCCCACTGAGACAGGCATGTAAGGGGACTTGCAGAATGACTGGTAATGGTGCCAAGAGCACAAGTACCTACCCGTTTTCTTCTTGCTACCAGAACAACAACCCTCTTGCTTAAGATTTTAACCCTTTACCATCTTGTGCCAATTTTCTTGCCGGAGGCCTACTCACAACCGTTCTGGCAATTTATGTTTATATCCAAAGAAAGGAATGTCCACACAAAACATTAGGATTGCTGTAATTTACTGTTACTTTAAGATGGCATTTTAGTCACATCACATAGACATACTATCTGGAATCACTTGACAGCATTTTTTCAATCACATACAGTCATGGCCGAAATTGTTGGCACCCTTGATATTTTTCCTGAAAATCAAGTATTTCACACAAAAAAGGTATTGCATTAACACATGTTTTGCTATACACATGTTTATTCCCTTTGTATGTATTGGAACAAATATTAAAACAGAGGCAGAAAAGCAAATATGACATAATGTCACACAAAACCCCAAAAATGGGCTGGACAAAAGTATTGGCACCCTTAACTTAATATTTGGTTGCACACCCTTTGGAAAACATAACTGAAATCAGTCGCTTCCTATAACCATCAATAAGCTTCTGACACCTCTCACCCGAATTTTGGACCACTCTTCCTTTGCAAACAGCTCCAGGTCTCTCTTATTGGAAGGACACCTTTTCCCAACAGCAATTTTAAGATCTCTCCACAGGTGTTCAATGGGATTTAGATCTGGGCTCATTGCTGGCCACTTCAGAACTCTCCAGCGCTTCTTTGCCATCCATTTCTGAGTGCTTTTTGACGTATGTTTGGGGTCATTGTCCTGCTGGAAGACCCAGGATCTTGGACGCAAACCCAGCTTTCTGACACTGGGCCCTACAGTGCGACCCAAAATCCTTTGGTAATCCTCAGATTTCATGATGCCTTGCACACAGTCAAGGCACCCAGTGCCAGAGGCAGCAAAACAACCCCAAAACATCATTGAACCTCCACCATATTTTACCGTAGGTACTGTGTTTTGTTCTTTGTAGGCCTCATTCCGTTTTCGGTAAACAGTAGAATGATGTGCTTTACCGAAAAGCTCTATCTTGGTCTCATCTGTCCACAAGACGTTTTCCCAGAAGGCTTTTGGCTTACTCAAGTACATTTTGGCAAACTGTAGTCTTGCTTTTTTATGTCTCTGTGTCAGCAGTGGGGTCCTCCTGGGTCTCCTGCCATAGCGTTTCATTTCATTTAAATGTCGACGGATAGTTCGCGCTGACACTGATGCTCCCTGAGCCTGCAGGACAGCTTGAATGTCTTTGGAACATGTTTGGGGCTGCTTATCCACCATCCGGACTATTCTGCGTTGCAATCTTTCATCAATTTTCCTCATCCGTCCACGACCAGGGAGATTAGCTACAGTGCCATGGGTTGCAAACTTCTTGATAATGTTGCGCACTGTGGACAAAGGCAAATCTAGTTCTCTGGAGATGGACTTGTAACCTTGAGATTGTTGATATTTTGCCACAATTTTGGTTCTCAGGTCCTCAGACAGTTCTCGTCTCCTCTTTCTGTTGTCCATGCTTAGTGTGGCACAGACAGACACACAATGCAAAGGTTAAGTGAACGTCTCTCCTTTTTATCTGCTTTCAGGTGTGATTTCTATATTGCCCACACCTGTTACTTGCCCCAGGTGAGTTTACAGGAGCATCACATGCTTGTAACATTCTTATTTATCCGCAGTTGTGAAAGGGTGCCAATACTTTTGTCCAGCCCATTTTTGGAGGTTTGTGTGACATTATGTCGAATTTGCTTTCTTTCCTCCCTTTTTTTGTTTTGTCCCAATACACACAAAGGGAATAAACATGTGTATAGCAAAACATGTGTTAATGCAATACGTTTCGTGAGAAATACATGATTTCCTGGAGAAATATCAAGGGTGCCAACAATTTCGGCCATGACTGTATAGTGGACGAACCGCAGCAGTCACAGGTGAAAGCAGCACATTTTAGCAAGTCATCCTCCCGAGGTCATCAATACTCACTCAGATGGTCCTGGTGCAATGGTCATTTTTTACTGCTACTGACCACTGACGATGGGGTATTTATTGCTCTCTCACTGACCACCAACGTAGGGACATTTTTTACTCCCACTGACCAATGACTTAGTGGCATTTTTACTCCCAATAGACTCCAGTTCCGGGGCATTTTTTAAATCATACTTACCGCAGTCCCACTCCCAGTGTGACAAGCAGTGAACTGGCCTTTTGTTGAAAAAATGACCCCTGCCTTAAAGCCTTTGGTATGGCACTGTTTTCATGGCATTGTATAAATAGAATTTTGTCACAGAATGTGAATTAATACACTAAATGTTCCCAAGAGCTGTAACTGTATGGGGAAATGAGTGAAATTTGCAAATATTAAAGCTAGACTTGGTAAGAGACAGCCTTATAGCCAAGCAACTAGCATTTTCAGAATGAGATGTTAGCAATGGCAGCCTTCAGGTTTCTCTCAATAATGGTTTCTTTTACTCCATTTAATACATAGGAATTAAAATAGCACTCTCTTTTTGATATTTGTTCATTTGATTTTTTTTGTAATACATTTTGATGGCATCCAATTTTGTGGCTAGTTAATAGCTTACAGCAAACAAATGCATTCTAGTGAAACCAGATTCTTTTTTATTTAAATATATATTTTTTAAAATATATTCTTCAGATTTTTTTAACATATAAAAAAGTCATTTTAACATATATTTTTACATACATTTGTAAATGCATTCCAAAAATGTAGATTTGCATTTTTAAAGACATACAGTATATTTTAAAATATATTGAATATGGTCAAAATTGTAGTATTTCAAATATATGGCAATATATTTGAGAAGAATATTATATTTCAAATATTTTTCTTCCATGTGGCTTTAGAGTGTGTAGGAAATAAATACCTTACAGCAGACTGATGAATTTGGTGACATTGGGGAATGCAGTTTACTAATAGCTTACAGCAGACTGGTGAATTTTGGAGTCTTCAGACTTTTGTGTGATGTCTTGCAATGTGCTCCGATCTCTCTACAGGTCTTGCCCGAGCGAAGTCAATCCCCAGTCAGACGTACTCCTCAGAAGTGGTCACTTTGTGGTACCGCCCACCAGATGTTCTTCTAGGTGCTACTGATTATTCCTCCGACCTCGATATCTGGTAAATTCAATTCAAGATTTCTTCTAATGCAGAATTAAATAGGAATTACAGTGTATGTTGATACCATTTTAATATGCATGTTGTAAAACAAATGACACACCCAAGAACCATTTGTTATGGTTAAAATCCATAGGTCTTTTAAAGTGAACCCCACCCCCCAAAAAATGAGGGGAAAAAAGTCCTCCCTGAATACCTACCAGAGCCTTGATCTGAGCACAGGCCTGACAGGGCAGGAAAGGGGGGGCCATCGAGTGCCCCCCCCCCCATCCCTGCGACTTACCAGGCCACGTGCCCTCGGCATTGGGACGGTGTCCCCATGCTGATGGAGACAAGGGCCTCTTCCCCACAACCCTGGCCTGGTGGTTGTGGGGGCAGGGGGCTCATTAGCATTAGGGTACCCCTTTCAATAAGGGGGCACCCTCATGCTACCCCCTCTTTTACTTGTACCCTTACTCATTCACTAGCGGGTAAAATTCAGTAAAAAAATAGAGACCAGTCTTGAAAAATTCCTTTAATTGAAAAAAAAAACACAACGGTTTTTGACAAGTCCTTTAATTTAAAAAAAAAAAAAAAAAAAAAAAAAAGCTAAAAAATGGTTCCATCATTGTAATCCATCATCAATCACAGCGTCCAGGTTTGTCACAACAACGCCGACTCACCGGCGCCCGCCGACCCGTCTGACACCCGCAGACTCCCCGAGCACTCGCCGTAATATGACTGGTCTGCCAGTCAGATGTAAACAAATAGACGTGGCTATGTCCAATTGTTTACAAGTGCTCAATGGGTGTGGACGGGCCAGCAGGCGTTGGTTTATTTTTTTTATTTCGGCGAGCCGGCGGCGTTGGGACAATGCTGGACACCGCGATTGACGATGGATTACATGGAACTTTTTTTTTTTGCTTTTTGACCTTTTTTTTATTAAAGGACTTGTCAAAAGCTGTTTTGTTTTTTGTTTACTTAAAGGAATTTTTCGAAAGTTTGGCGTCTTCATTTTTTCTAAATGTAACCCTTCAGTGAAAGGATAGGGAAACCCTTTACTCATTCACAAATGGGGGGCAGCATCAGGGTGCCCCCTTACTTAAAGGGGTACCCTGATGCTAATGAGTCTCCCTGCCCGCAGATCACCACAGCCACCGGGTCAGGGTTGTGGGGAGGGAAGAGGCCCTTGTCCCCATCAGCATGGGGACACTGCTCCAATGCCGAGGGCACGTGGCCTGGTAAACCATGAGGGGGTGCTCGATTGTCCCCCCCCCTTTCCTGCCCTGCCAGGCCTGTGCTCAGATCAAGGGTCTGGTAGGAATTTAAAGGGGACCCCATGTTTTTTTTCTCCATTTTGTTGGGTGGGGTTCCCCTTAAAAGTTCTATGGCTTTTAAGGGGAACCCCACGCACATTTTCCCTTTTTCCTCCCATTTTTTGGAAGTGGAGTTCCCCCTAAAAGTCCTACCAGGCCTAAAGGGCCTGGTGTAGCTTTTTGGGTGAACCCCCATGCACTATAAAAAAAAAAAACATTTTTTACTGTGGGGTCCCTCCTAATCTTCCTACCAGACCTAAAGGGCTTGGTATTGATTGGGGAAGGGGGTGAGGGGAACCTACGCTGTCTTTTTTTTTTTTTTTACAGTTGTCTTTTTTAATATTATTTTGTTGTTATTATTTGTTTTTCAAGGAGAGTATTCTCCCCTCTGTCTTCAGCAGTATCCAGCAACACACTACACAAGGTTGCTGTGTAAACAGCCTTATATAGTGTGGGGCATGGACTTAGCTGTGAGCCATGATTGGCCAAAGTCACCGCGACTTTGGCCAACCATGGCTCTCACAGTGCATTGTGCTGTCATTGGCCAAAGCATTGCATTTGACCTGTGGTCAGGTGTATTGCTTTGGCCAATCATGGCTCTCAAAATGCACTGTGAGAGTGCAGTGCATTGTAGGGCACTCAGTTGGAGAAAAGCGGGACAAATACCCTTACCATTCGTGTGTTTGGTGAACACACGAATGGCTGATGTTTGAGTCAAACTTGCGTTCAACTCGAACATTAAACCCAACACAAACTACATGCAGATTCTGACAAGTAACACCACCTGTCCTACTGTGAACGAAGCCATGTAGCAACCGTGAGCAGAACTCTGTACAAAGTATGATGAAATCCCCTCTTAGACATGTGGGTGAGGCCTAAAGAGTCAGGGAGTTCACCCTGTAGAGGGCAGGTTAAAAACCAACAGCCATTTAGTTACCTCTTCACACTTTGGCTCCCAGGGGCTTGTTCCTACTCTGATCTGAAACCAAAGGACACTGCTATCTCTTCTTCTCTCGATAGATTATCAACTGTTACAGTATGGGGGAGTGGAGCATACCCCATACCTTGCCAGTCCTCCATATCCCTCCCTGGACACTTAATACATGAATTCATGAGTTACTAGTGCACCTAATACAGTTTACCTCCCAACCCCAAATTACAAGAAGCTCCCGCTTTGTACTCAGTGCAAGGCCTTTCTCCTGTGACCACCCAGGCCAGGTCCCTAGGCAGACCTTTTGGCACAGGTCCCAATATGAGTATCCCACCATGAGGTGAGGGACATAAAGCACACCTGTCCTCTCACTGAACAGTGCCACCGTCACTCTCCACAGTCACCTGCCTCCACTTCAGAATGGCTGCCATCTCTGATACTGTGCCCCAACCTTGAAGATTAAAATGTATATGTATTCAGGTATGCTTGTTTCAGAAAGCTACTCAATCCAGAAGACAATGTATTGACTGTCAATGTGAGGTTTTTAGATACACCAAGGTTACACTTAAGCTGATCAGGAGCACTTCTATTAGTAAGAGACACCAACAACGTCTTGCTTACATGAAGTTCCTGTTCACAGGAAAGATCTGAGTGTTCATGTACATTTTGCATTTTTCTTCATACTTATGCACAACACAGTTAAATAGCCAAGATCTCTGGCTGTGCATTAAGAGAACTGGGGCTGCTCATACCTGGAATCAGAGAAAAGTCCAGAGCAACAAGTCCTTGTGCAACGTATAAGCGTCCAAAGTTTCTGGACCCTGAAGAACAGGCCCTTTGAAGGGGGAAAAAAAGAGTTACACCAGGAATGACATCTCTTACAGGTTCTATCAGCAGATCTGGACTCCAACTCCCTCTGAGGCTGACTTGCCCTCTATATATAGTCACAATAACACCGGCTTACACACACAGGGCCAGGCATGAAACTATGCACCAGTCAGAGATTTAAAGTTGCAGTGCTAAAACATAACAAAATGTCAAACATTTAACACAAACCCATTGAATGATATAGGCACCTGCTCTAGACAAATGTCTCCAAATAGGTGTACCTGTTGGAAGATACTTTCTATACTAGGGAAAATCAGGACAGAGAGAAAGAGGGGTCAGTCTTCCCAGTAAGGAAACAAAAAAACCTTGGGGCTCCTTATGTTTAGTTCCACTTTGGTTGTAAACCTCTGACATGAAATATGAACAAAGCATATTCTCCTATAGTGTGTACTTGTCTCAATCCAGAGCAAGTGTAATTTCTGTCTGTTGCCTCATTCGTCTGCTATCTGCACTTCTGACTTTTTTTTCCTGACCCTAAGATGCAAAAAGGTGACAGAGGAGGGAACTCCAGCACACAGCTTGTGATTCACAGCTTTAGCTCTGTTCCTGTGTGTTGTGTCAAGGGGGTGCCTCTTCCCTCCAATCAGCTCTCAGAGCTCTCCTCACTGAGCTCTACAGCTCTGAGTGTAATTTCAGCTCTTTTTCTAGATACTCAGACAAACTGTATAGACTGTGCACTTTGAATGGATGTAGAGAAAAGAAGACTACAAATAAACAGGTACAACATACGTAGGAGGATTTGTTTAATCTCTGTGTATCACCTGAGACATGTCACCTCACTGGGTATATGTAAAGGTTTATAACCACTTTAAGCAGTAGAAAGATCAAGCAACAAACTTATTTATATACCGTCTCTATCCTTGTATAGAGGTTATAGTTGGATTGCTCTTTTTAACAAGTAAGGCAAGACTTTTCCATGATGTACAGTTCTGATTTCAGCAATAACATGAATATCCCCATCCCGCATTGCTAGATATATCTAAAAAAATAAAGTGAGATCACTAGACAGGTGGTGTGTGCTTCCACTAAAACAGACTTTCACATTGAGCATCAGTCCATTTTTAGTCATCATAAAACACAGTGTATTCAGTTATGCATATGGTACATTAGAGGCAGAAGGGCATAGAAAGCAGACATAGGTGAAGGAAAATGGAAAAGACAGAGATATACAGAGTCTGGCTCTGGACAATATTCTGTGGTTTGTATGCATGCAGTCCCTGCTAGCATGAACTGCAGAAGTAGGATGAAAGACAATACAAACTGCTTTATCCTGCCAGTGGATGATGGTGCAGAATACCAAGTAGCAGCACATGAGTAAGGATCGCTCCAATTATAAAAAGCACTAGTGATACTAGTTTGCTAAGCCTAAAAATATCTTGAAACACACAAATAACCAGTTTCAGATGTTTATATGATTTGTGTTTTATAAAGTGACACCAGGTTAAAAAGAAAAAAGCTATTAAAGTATATATTCTTAACAAAAAAAGTACCTACTATTGCTTTATCCTCCTCCAAAACCCTTTTTTTTTTTTTTTTTTGTTACTGTTAGAAGGTGTCTACTGCCATTCCCCATGGTCCCACTAAATATAAGACTCTCACCCTCTCTTACTTATTCCCCAGAAGGACTAGAGACTATGGACTACGAATTTTGTAGTGTGCATAGAGCAGTGCACGTGATCACAACTAACGTGCACTGCTTGTTACAAATAAATGTAAGCTGAGGGAAAAGGAGAGGTTTGGGAACTCACGGAGAATGCTACAAGGAGGCATAAAAACAAATTAAGAGACAATTTCATAAAAAATAGTCTACAGGGTGATTAAGTAGCGAATGTGTTTGAATTATTTTTGGAGTATTAGGATATTGTTTAGTGTCACGTAATAATAATAAGAGTACTGTCATTCAAGGGTTGAATAGCTGTGATGTGATTAAAGTAGAACTATAGGTAAAACTTTCTTTTTTGGATAGAGTAACAGAGGGTTATAAGTGCTCTCAGGCTTTGTTTTCCATCTCTGTGCCATTGGGGAGATTTACCTTCACTTTCTGTCCCATAGCCAAAATAGGAAGTGAGAGATAATCCCTGCAAATTAAGGGATTCCTAAGAAAAAAATTAATATTTGGGATTCCTTTGCCCCCCCCCCCCCCCAGAAAACCAGAACTAGTGTCTCCATTGTAAGATTTCCCCTCTATGACATTTCTGAGGACAACCCAAAATGCTCCCACTTTCAATCATAATCATAAACAAAACAAGAAGCAAGGGTGAATCTAATGGGGGCACAGGCAGCAAACCCCCCCCCCAAAAAAAAAAACTGATAGGTGTTCTAACCCCTGTCCACTCTGTCCAAAACTAAAAAAAAAAAAAGTTTTGTCCTTGGTTATACTTTAATTCCAAATATTTGTTGTCATTTTCTATATATTTACAGAATAAAGAGAAGTATGGGTATGTCTTTTTATTTTATATCATTCCCCATAAATATGTAACTATTCCATAAAAAAATAGCATTCACTTTAACTGCTGTATTATGTGTACAGTCAGGTCCATAAATATTGGGACATCGACACAATTCTAACATTTATGGCTCTATACACCACCACAATGGATTTGAAATGAAATGAACAAGATGTGCTTTAACTGCAGACTGTCAGATTTAATTTGAGGGTATTTACTACCAAATCAGGTGAACGGTGTAGGAATTACAACAGTTTGCATATGTGCCTCCCACTTGTTAAGGGACCAAAAGTAATGGGACAATTGGCTTCTCAGCTGTTCCATGGCCAGGTGTGTGTTATTCCCTCATTATCCCAATTACAATGAGCAGATAAAAGGTCCAGAGTTCATTTCAAGTGTGCTATTTGCATTTGGAATCTGTTGCTGTCAACTCTCAAGATGAGTTCCAAAGAGCTGTCACTATCAGTAACCGTAGCTTGGCATTGCATGCCATTATTAAGCTTATGATCTACCAGAACCCTCAGATCCTTCTCCACCATTGATTCCCCCAGTTGTACTCCCCCTAGTATGTATGATGCATGCATATTCGTAGCCCCCAAGTGCATAACCTTACATTTATCAACATTAAACCTCATTTACCACATAGTTGCCCAATTACACAGTGCATTGAGGTCGGCTTGTAAGTTGAAGACATCCTGTAAGGACGTTATTCCACTGCACAGCTTGGTGTCATCTGCAAAGACTGAAATTGTATTTTTAATCCCAGATCCTATGTTTATAAATATATTAAGTAAGGGTCCCAACACTGAACCTTGGGTTACACCACTGACAATCCTAGACCATTCAGAGTATGAATCATTAACCACTACTCTCTGAATACGATCTTTTAGCCAGTTTTCTATCCATTTATATAAGTATTTTTCTAAGCCTTTAGACTTCCACAAATCTGATGGAAAGGGTTACCACCTCAGTGTTTAAATCAACAAAGTGCAGCCCATCACCAGCTCTCAGACGAACACTCACCAGCTGGAATTGCCCCCCCAAAAAAGGAAATTGGGCATAAACAGCATGAAACATGGATATGGAAGTATGGATGTATTACAGTATCTCCCACCTCAGCTCCTGCTCTGAATAGCTTACACCTCAGGACTACAGTTAGCCAATCATGAGTATCCCAAATGTAATAAAAGTCACATACTGTAACTTATTCCAATAAAATCAACACACTCCCTTTATTAAAAGTATGCACACACGTAAAACCAGCTTGCCAGGATCTCTGCAGAACTCCCCAACACTTTTCCTTTAAGATGACTGGTGTACAATATTTCTACACTGGTAGAAAAAGTCTAAGTAAACATCTTCTGAAGCTTTTCACACTAAGACCAAATAGAAAGCCATCTGTGGCTGCCCAGAAACAGATCTTTATCTCAATTATCTTCAGTTCTGATGGCTGAGTGGAGAGTTAAAGAGAGATGGACATATAAGAGGCCATCTTAAAGCCGGAGGGTTGCGGAATTCTGTGGTGCTCTTCGTGCCATATTCCAGCTTACAAGGTGGTGTCCAGTCTGGAAGGAGTGCTGATGGTAGCACAGAGTACGTAAAGATCCCACAAGGGGACACAAGTTTTATATAACTTAGCATTTTTATGTAGGTCATATTCATTGGCACAACTGCTGGAAGGGAAGCATTGAGTAGTGTAGGAGTGGTAGTGTGTACAAAAGTGATGAAAAATTCAACAGGTACACAGCAAGTTTTTCAAGAGAGACGTTTTTTTGAAAATATTTTGTATTGATTTTGAGATTTCAAAACAAATGGTGTCATATTATAATAATTTTAGTATTTATTAGATAAAGTGCTACACTGTTTGTTTGCCTAGGTTGCATTTTACGTGTAGGACATGAAATTCATGGTAAATTAGAACACAACACGTTTCAAAATACAGTATATTGCCTGCTTCCCCCTTTTGAGTACTTTTTTTGTGGGGACCTTCTAAATGTAACTAAAACACAGTCGAGTAAACACAGTTCTGGTTTCAATGTCGCCTTATCCCTTTGTCTTTGTTCTGTGATTTCCCACACATCTTTGTGTTTGGAATTGCATAATTCATATACTGAATCTGGATTATTGTCAAAGAGCTCAGCTCTGCTCTCTGAGTCTGCCATATTTATGTCTGTATTGGAGCTCTCTCTCTGTCATACCTATGTGCAAACTTGTAAACTGTCTTTATCACTGTATGTGTCCTAACTTCTGTCTTTGTGTGGCCATCATTACTGGGACAGGAAGTAAGAGAAAACTTCCCAGTGGCAATAAATCGTTCCAGAAGTTCTGAGCTGTGTGACATAGGTTAGCTATGTGGTTGGACAGAATTTCCCCCTTCCTCCATGGTCGTCCGACAAGGCAACTAGCAAGGAGGCGACTGCATTATTAGCCAGCACTTATCTCCAGCTTTAACCACTTTCCTGAGGGAAGTGCCAGCAAGAGGAATGCAGGGGTACGGTAGCTGACTCCCCCCCTTGCATTCCTTTTGCCATCTCTTGTCTCAGGCAAATATTTGGTGCCAGAGATACGCCACGGCTATCAATGCAACCATATTCTTGCTAGCTATTTGTTGGCTGGCTGAGGAGAAAAGGGGCATTCTGTCTGGCCCTCTACAAGATCTAGGAAGATGCGAAAAAAAATACTACATGTACTTTGTCCCCCTGGGAACATTGTAATAAAAAAAAAAATTAAAAAAGGAAATTCTTATTTTAATAAAATCCAGAAATTTCTCAATATAAGGTAACAATATAATTTTTCGCAAAAGCTCTAAATTTTATCATTAAAAGGCCATTATTGTGCTTCAGTCCAGTAACTTTGCCTAGGCTGAGATGATGCCAGCAGTCTACTGTAAGCGGGAGGAAGCATTGCCCAAGATCTTTCTCCCCTAATGATCAGATGTAGCAAGTTACAAGGTGAGAGGCTGCAGCAGGGGCATATTTGTGAACACGGACAAATCTGCACAGGCAGCAGGATTTACTATGCAGCCTGTGCAGTTGACTGTGTCATCTCCGAGTCACTATCTATGTCCATGAAGTAGATAGTGACCCTGGATGATGTGGGAACAAAGATGGCGTCATTTATATGGAGAGGAAAGTAGGTGAAGGCATTGTCAGAGAGAGTACTGGAAGTGTTTCACTTACACATTACACAGCATGCATGCACTTAACATGGAAAAAATATCTCTGAAGATGAGTTCACTTTAATATCGGGGGGTGCAAATCCTAATATTAAGACATCTAAGTCCTGGAAGTGTAAACTTTTAAAAACATAGTGTTTTCCATTGTTTTTTAGGGGCGCAGGTTGCATATTTATAGAAATGCTTCAGGGATACCCAGCATTCTCTGGGGTGTCAGATGCCTTTGAACAACTGGAGAAAATCTGGTCGGTAAGTTTCCAAAATTTCTTTCAAGTGCTTTAAAAGCCATAATTGTGGCAAAAACCTGCAACTTCTTTTTTGCATTTGCAAATTGCATTGGAGTTATTTATGTGCAGTTGCTGATATTGTTGTACTGCCCCTGATGATCTGCCTGTATAGTGCTAGAAGAGCAAACCAAAGTGGAGGGGCTAAAATGTATTGGGGGTAAAATGTGTGCTAGTCCTTGCCTGCTCAACATCCAGTCAGGATGCTGGTTCTTCTGCAAAGGGACATCAGGGTGGGATGGGTGAGAAGCACCTCATGCAAAGAGGTATACTACTTGATAATTAAGATACAATTTATTTTGGTAGTCACCTAAAAATAGAACCAATGTGTTTCAAATAGGACACCCCAATTTCAACTCTCAATTGTTTCATCCTGTTTCTTTAAAATTCTGTGTACGTTTAGTCCTTCCTACTATCACCTGCCGGCCCTTTGAGAGTCAAATTGCCAGGAGGCAGGCATTTTGATCAATCCAGAGATCCTCATCTGAATTCTATCCCTTTATGCCTGTGTCTACAATTCATTCTGCTCACTCAATATCTCCATCCATCCATTCAGATGCATCCATTGTACCCATCCATTCAGATGCACTGAGAGTAGAGTGTAAGTGATATGTAATGAGCCAGAGTGAAAGAGCACAACCCAGCAACCCTTTAGACCAGCATGTTCCTCCTTGCTGGCCGCTCAGTAGTGCAGACTTTATCTGTGCTGTGTTAATCAGTTGCTTGATTACTGTTCCAGAAACAAGTGTGAGAATGTAATCAAACAACTGTTGGGCAGACTGCATAGCTAAAGTCTACACCATCTAGTGGCCATTTTCTCCCTAGAACGTGTATGTCTAAAGGGTGCCCAGGAATGTGTTATTTCATGTTTACAATCGGCAAGAAGCTGATGTACCAGCCCCCTTTCTGGCTTATGAAGAGCTACTACTAAAAAAAATGGTAGCTCCAACTACATGAATGAAATGAGGACATGCACACATTTTCAAAGTAAGAAAAAATATTTTGACAATACTAATACAGAACTTTGAGTCAGTGATTAATGCTCTTTATACAGTAGTTAATGTAACAAATGTGACTTTAGTACTCACTTATCTACCAAGTCAGTTGGATGTTTGTAACTCTTTCCTCACCCACCACACACCAATGTAAATTGTGTATGAGACTGTTGAAGCTGGTTATAATGTTTAAAAAAACACATTGAAGTGTGGTTCTTTCAACCTTCATCAAACAGTATCATATTAGCAAATCTTTACAAACAAGTGCTCCGGAGTGTTCATTTTATGTACTACTTCTGACAGCTTCCATGTGTAGGCACATGTGTAGAAATATTTCTAAACTTTAGATTACAATACAAAAACTGTCATTTGACAAATTCTGTGGGTGCTGTGTGATGATATTCCCAAAAAATGAAATATAGCAAAGATAAGTATGAAAATTCTATACATTTTTTTTGGTTGTTGGAAAAATAAAAAAGGTTTGTATCTATCATTTGCATGAAGTGGTTCATTGTCAGTTAACTCAGTTTACATTTCACTCACCATTGGGTAGTCTCACTAAGATGATTCAGGATTTACACTAGGAGGAGCTAGAACAGGCAAGCCCAACCATGTTGACCAGATTTTATACTTATAAGGACACCTCCTGTGTTAGTATCAGTCTTTTTTCCTTTCCAAAAGTGAGTTGATTGAGGGTTTCCACTGGTCAAACATGGGTTATATGTGAGACAATCATCTTTGGGAAATTTGTTTACAGGCAATAAATAATGTTCTAGTCAGGGATGATTGATTATGATCTGGGAATGTTTTCAGGCAATACAGTGCCTTGAAAAAGTGCTTGTACCACTTGAAATGTTCCACATTTTGTCATGTTACAACCAAAAATGTAAATTTTATTGGGATTTTATGTGATAGACCAACATAAAGTGGCACATAATTGTGAAGTGGAAGGAAAATGATAAACAGTTTTAAAAATTTTTTACAAATTAATATCTGAAAAGTGTGGCGTGCATTTGCATTCAGCCCCCCGAGTCAATACTTTGTTGAACCACCTTTCGCAGCAATTAAACCTGCAAGTCTTTTTGAGGATGTATCTACCAGCTTTGCCCATCTAGAGAGTGAAATGTTTGCCCATTCTTCTTTGCAAAACAGCTCAAGCTCTGTCAGATTGGACAGAGAGGGGTTTATTTACTAAAGCTGGAGAGTCCAAAATCAGACTCCCTTCTGCATAGAAACCAATCAGCTTCTAACCCAGGGGTGGGCAAATTTTTTGACTTGAGGGCCGCAATGGGTTCATATATTGGACCCGGGGGCCGGACCAAGAGTAGATGAATGATGTGTATGTGTCATCCATAGTAAGTATAGTAATATTCCCCCATAGTAAGCATAGTAATTAATCCCCCATATAGTAATTCATCCCCCATATAGTAATTCATCCCCCATGGTAATTCATCCCCCATATAGTAATTCATCCCCCATATAGTAATTCATCCCCCATAGTAATTCATCCACCATATAGTAATTCATCCCCCATATAGTAATTCATCCCCCATAGTAATTCATCCCCCATATAGTAATTCATCCCCCATATAGTAATTCACCCCCCATAGTAATTCACCCCCATAGTAATTCATCCCCCATAGTAATTCATCCCCCATATAGTAATTCATCCCCCATAGTAATTCATCCCCCATATAGTAATTCATCCCCCATATAGTAATTAATCCCCCATATAGTAATTCATCCCCCATAGTAATTCATCCCCCATATAGTAATTCATCCCCCATATAGTAATTAATCCCCCATATAGTAATTCATCCCCCATATAGTAATTAATCCCCCATATAGTAATTCATCCCCCATAGTAATTCATCCCCCATATAGTAATTCATCCCCCATAGTAATTCATCCCCCATATAGTAATTCATCCCCCATATAGTAATTAATCCCCCATATAGTAATTCATCCCCCATATAGTAATTCATCCCCCCCTATAGTAATTCATTCCCCATATTAAGTCCCCAAGTCCCCCCTATAGTAATTCACCCCCCATATTAATTCATCCCCCATATTAAGCCCCCAAGTCCCCCCTGTGTCAATTGACTTACCTTTGCTCCGCGCGTTACTCTCACCGTGTTCCCACGCCGTTCTGCTGTAGCATGAAAATCTGTCTCCTATGAGGATCTGTCCCCCTCGACGTATCTGCGCATGTGCAAGTTTCAGGCATTAGCAGCCGATCGGCGATCTCCGGCACATGCGCAGATACGTCGAGGGGGACAGATCCTCATAGGACACAGATTTTCATGCTACCCTGGTCTTCAGGGCGGACTGTGAGAGGAGCCTAGCTCCGCGGGCCGGATTAAAAGGTCCGCCGGGCCGTATACGGCCCGCAGTCCGTAGTTTGCCCATTGCTGTTCTAACCTCAGCTTGTTCAATGAAGCTTTGGCAATGAAACCTGGAAGCTGATTGGTTTCTATGCAGAAGGGAGTCTGATTTTGGACTCTCCAGCTTTAGTAAATAAACTCCAGAGTGTCTGGACCTTGACTGGGCCATTCTAACACATGGACATGCTTTGATCTAAACCATTCCATTGTAGCTCTGGCTGTATGTTTAGGTTCGCTGTCCTGTTGGAAGGTGAACCTTTACCCCAGTCTCAAGTCTTTTGTAGACTAACAGATTTTCTTCTAAGATTGCCCTGTATTTGGCTCCATCCATCTTCCCTTCAACTCTGAGCAGCTTCCCTGTCCCTGCTGAAGATAAGCATACAACATAATGTTGCCACCACCATGTTTCACGTTGGGGATGATGTGTTCAGGGTGATGTGCAGTGTTAGTTTTCCACCACAAATAGAGCTTTGCTTTTAGGTCAAAAAGTTCAGTTTTGGTCTCATTTGACCAGAACACCTTCTTCCACATGTTTGCTGTGTCCCCCACATGGCTTCTCACGAACTACAAACGAGACTTCTTATGGCTTTCTTTCAAAAATGGCTTTCTTCTTGCTACTCTTCCATAAAGGTCAGATTTGTGGAGTGCATGACTAATAGTTGTCCTGTGGACAGATTCTCCCACCTGAGCTGTGGATCCTCTGCAGCTCCTCCAGAGTTACCATGGGCCTCTTAGCTGCTTCTCTGATTAATGCTCTCCTTGCCCGGCCTGTCAGTTTAGGTGGACAGTCATGTCTCGGTAGGTTTGCAGTTGTGCCATACTTTTTCCATTTTCGGATGATGGATTGAACAGTGCTCCGTGAGATGTTCAAAGCTTGGGATATTTTTTTATAACCTAACCCTGCTTTAAACTTCTTCACAACTTTATCCCCGACCTGTCTGGAGTGTTCCTTGGACTTCATGGTGCTGTTTGTTCACTAATGTTCTCTAACAAACCTCTGAGAGCTTCACAGAACAGCTGTATTTATAGTGAGAATAAATTACACAAAGGTGGACTCTATTTACTAAGTAGGTGACTTCCGAAGGCAATTGGTTCCACTAGATTTTAGTTAGGGGTATCAGAGAAAAGGGGGCTGAATACAAATGCAAATCCATACTTTTCAGATATTTATTTGCAAAAATTTATGAAAGCAATTTATCATTTTCCTTCCACTTCACAATTATGTGCCACTTTGTGTTGGTCTATCACATAAAATCCCAATAAAATACATTTACGTTTTTGGTTGTAACATGACAAAATGTGAAAAATGTCAGGGGGTATAAATAACTTTTCAAGGCACTGTATGCCTGAGATATCTTTTTGATTCAACTTCTAAGGAGACGGAGAACAGTTAGCTAGTAACTTGAAATCTATCTTCCAAATACCTACAATGTTTTGGACATCTCCACATCCTATGAATTAGAGTTGCTGTGTCCCTAGAATATCTTGTACGAATGGGAGGGGGTGTATGTCCCTACTTAAATATCTTCAGTGGAGAAAAGTAAGTTCTATGACTGATAAATAATTGAGTGATCTTCTGAGATGGAGATAATGTCAGGGATCTCGGGCTTCGCCTCTGT